TAGGATATCATGCGGGTTCATACATGATACAAATTACTTTGTATTGAAGCTTTTTCTCATGTTAAAGCTAGAAAGATGTTGAAAAGAAGAGATACGATGAGATAAGAAGTCGGTACCTTGTAACTTTCAGCAGCAACATAAACAGGCTTGTTCAAGCTATGAGCCACTATTGCAATTTGATATGTTCCCATCATGTTGATAATCCCTCCACTTTCAACCACACCATCAGCTCCCACAAAGACCATATCAACCTCATCCATGGTATAGCCAACTGCAGAATCAATGAGAAGCTTCACAGGAACACCGAACTGTGCGAGTTCATTTGAAAAACGTAAGCCTGTTCTATCTGGTCTTCCCTCTGCACAAACAACCACAATTTCAAATTTGAGACGATGAAGATTGATAATAGTGAAGTAAGCATAACTGATGCATTATAGATGGAAAATGACCTGTGCAGAGAACACGAAAAAGTTTCCTATTTGTTGCAGCTGTCTTCAGCACTTCCAACACAACTCGTGAGAAACCATGAACTAGGATTGTGCAACCATCAAATATAAAGTCCTGGCCAAGCATAGCGATGGTCCGGCGAGCCTAGAAATGTGTTTGTAACTTGATTTAAGAGTAGCAATACATGTGGAAAGAGAGAAGGCAGTAACACTAACAGCAAAATTTACCCTCAAAGAGATCTCTCCAAATTTTTCACCGCGCTCAATTAGACGTAATCTTGCAGCATTGAAATCCTCATACTCTAAGGCAGAAGTTCTGGTGACATATCGCATGAACAAATCACAGCCAGCAGATAATGATATAGAAGTTGTGTCCCATGACTGGAAATATAGACATGAAAATGGCTATATTAGATAAGGTACAACATAGACAATTACAGATGATCCAAGAATATTGATAGTGTAAACTAAATTATTAAAAGGCCTTGCAGGCAAAACATGGCAATGTGGAGACTTCACAATTCTATATCTAGATAGGAGAGATGCAGGTTGGTGCCAGACAATATATAATTCTAAAAATATAGACATGAAAATGGCTATATTAGGTAAGGCTGTATTTTACCTCTTTGATACACCACATCACTGCAAATCTCACAATAAAGGCACGTCTTAATGCTAAAATTATCAATCTTTCTCTAATAACCGTAATCCTACCTTTTCCAAGCAAACACAAAGTTCATAGCAAGGATTGTTCTTAGCCATCATTCATATGCTGGAGACTCTAATAACATCTGATCATGAATCTATTGTAACTCAAACACATGTTAAGTAGGTCTCCCCTCATTTTTTTCTAGGGCCTGGGAAGAAAATCTTGAACACCAATTCATGTTGGCAACCTTATTGTGCTATTCATCTCACGCCCCCATCCCACATTTGGTCATGGGGCTGCAAATGGGCCTGATCTAGCCCAGAAACAGAAAGTGAACTATATGATACAGCCTAGAAAGATCAACAAGGCCTGGACAAAGATGGTAAGCAAGATCCTATCTATCTTAATTCCCACACATTCTCAAAGACTCCATTGTTAAAGCCACAAACTCCTCATGTCCTACCAATCTCTGACTCTTTGGCCTTAAAACCCTAGCCCTATACACATGGTGATCCGCTACTCTCTTCAAACTTGAAATCCCCATTCCAGCAATCTCTCATTTTCTCCAATAACTTTATCTCTTTTCCCGTCGCCACCTCCAATCCTTCCTCCCAAAACCCTTTCTCACTCTGCATTCCTCCAAATGCAGCTTTACTTCATCACCCACCACCTGACCGCAAGCTCATCACCATTGAGAGTCCCTGACTCAGTTGGATGGAAAGATCAATAGCATGTGAACACAAGACAACCTCTTAAGTAGACTTGTCAATGCCCTTGGATAGTAAGCCAAGTACATGGTAACACACGGCAAGGTAAGTCACAATGAGGCAACAAGGCAGGATGGAAAAATCTAAACCTTCTATTTTTACCCTACATCCATGTGATATGTCAAGTTTACAAAGATGTTAAGAAGCATAAACATAAGTTAAGTTCAAAATTGAAATCAGCATGCTCATTTATTGTATGCAATCATGATCTATAGAATCACGAACTGGCCAACTTTTAAAAGATTCGAAAACTGATTCATCCCCGAATAGAGACAAACAAACTTCTAATTGCAATTATATTAGACAAAGTTTTGGATAAAGGATGCATGATTAAATAGATTAAGGATGCAACTACATGATCCACAGAATTCATTCTATGTGGATTAAGGATGCAACTACGTGACCTGTAGAACTCTTCTAGAGTCGTGTGGTCTGCACAGACCAAATGTGATCTATAAGGACCGGGAAAACATCAAGTTTATTACTCATTGCAAATTTGCAATACTTACCCCATAATTGTTAACATGAAATGGCTGATAGATTGTCATGGATATTTAACACCAAGAAAGTTTAAAAACTCAGTTATGTTACAGGATCTAGACCCTTTTTAAGGAATCCCAGTCCTTTTACTGCACATTTGTCAACATTAAGAACTAAAATGTTACTGGCAGGAGAGTAAATTATGGCTACATAAAACATAGAACACCCGATTACTCTATTTCACTCCCCTCTCATTCTTATCCCTACACCAATCTCAACTGCCATGTACTCATGAACAGTGGGCGCAAATCCAACAGTCAACTGAGAAATGGCTTCAAACTTGTTTGCCCAGGTTTGCAGTGCTTGACATGTTATCGTCTTATCAGATACCTTTAACTCACTTAAAGTTCGTTGTCCTCCCAATTGACATCCAAATGTATTTCAATCAATTGAATAACTAAGACATGTTTTATTAACACAAGTAAACAACATTATTTCAATAATTATGGCCCTTCTTTCAGAAAAATAATAATAAGATGATTAATTGATGACCCTTGGTAATACAAATCTAAATACATCATTCTAGCAGAAAAGATCATATCAAAATCTTACTGACCGTTAACCCACTCTCTGTACCTCAATGTTTTGAGAATGGGAGCATGATTGTGGATTTGGCTTCACTATTCTTGAGAAGCAGGGTAGGACTATGGGTGAGACAGACTGTTACAATAGAGCTCGAGTTTAAGCTTGGTTCATTTAATTCTCGGGGTAAACTGAGACGAACTAAGCATGAATGAGCTGTAGTTTCAAACTTGCAGGACAATTAGCCCAGTAGCTCGAGCTTTACTTGTTGAGATTATGTTTATACTAACAGAGCATAACCTATGCTCAGCCTGTTTATACACATCTAAATAAAATCAACTAATTTTAAATTCAATATAGTTATGTTCAGTTGAAGCATACCATGCACATAAATGTTGTACTTCGCATTTAGCACCCTTAACCAATATGTCCAAAACGTCCAGCTACAGTTTCAAGAAAGACTCCCAAATCATTATTCATCCACAACAAAGATTCCAAAGGGCATAGCTAAATAGAAGCTAGGGTTTCAAACATCATTGCACAATGAAAGACATAGATAGACAAGAACATCCACTAAATGACTATGATTTTATACTCAAAATCCAAGATGTTCTACTGTTTTCGATCCTAGCTGGAGTGGAACGTAATCAAATTCTAAGGCATAATAGAGATGCTAAAGTTCCAACTAACGAACCGAGCTAGAGAAACTAAACCAGAGTAAAGTGAAAGACGAAAGAATCAACCTTTAGCGCATCAGACGCCTTCTTCAGCTCGATCTCGAGCTCCATCATCGTCGTCGCCTCACTCGACCGAATCACCGCCGCAAGCGCCATGATCGCCGCCACAGCCTCAGCCAAATCCGGCTTCTTCCTCCAGAAATTGAACTCATCAATCACGCTAAACCCCCTCCCTCCACCTCCCCCAACGGAGCCCTCCTCCGGCGGCGACGTAGTGGCACGCAATTGACAGCGTGCCGACTACGCCTGGGCGCAGCCAGTCGCTGGTAACGACAGCGTGGTGCTCGGATCGCGTCTGGTAGTAGGCGGAGATGCTAGGGTTCGGGTTAGGGTTTTGGTGGGGGTCCATGGATGAGTTGGGCTCTGGGGGCGACGACGGGGGGTTTTGTTGCCCTAGACGCTTGTCGAGGACGAACGAAGCGGACCGCCTCCACATGATTTCGGGTTTTGGATTTTGGAGGGTTTTATTTCAGGGTTTTTGATTAAAAAGGGAAATCTTGATTAAAGCCAGAGAGAGAGAGAGAGAGAATGGAATATGTACAGTGTGGAGTCCGAGTCCTGAAGGAGGGAGAGAGAAACTGATGGTGTAATTGCGTGATTAGTGAGTAAATTGTAATTAAGATTGTAAACCCGCTACGAGCGACCCGACCCGAGTCGTGCGTGGGCCCAGCCCACAGCGCGAGAAAGAAATCCCTCTCTCTCACCGCCAGACGAATAAAACCCCCTCCCAAGCCTTTTTATTATATTTCGATTCCTCTCAATTTTCTAAAAAAAAAAATTCTTGAATTAAAGCGTTCATCGGTTCTAGGCTGGTGAAGGTATCGAGGATGAGGCTGTTGAAGGTTGCGACTTGCAACTTGAACCAATGGGCGATGGATTTCGATAACAACATGAAGAACATCAAGGAATCGATTGCTAGGGCGAAGGAGGAGGGGGCTAGGGTTAGAATCGGGCCGGAACTTGAGATCACTGGTTATGGGTGTGAAGATCATTTCTTGGAGCAGGACACCGTCGCTCATTCGTAAGTTTTTGCTCTTTTGAAAGCTTTTATTTTTTTTTAATTTTTTTAATTAATTACGGTTTCGCATCAGTTATTTGCGGTAGGAAAGGTCGAATTTTTACGAGTATTTCGTTATCTGTGTTGATACCTTTCATCTGTTTTCACTCTGCGCTGTTTTATTCCATTAAGATCCTGATTATATGATTTGTTAGAGGTGGGAGAACGAGAGTAATCACTGATAAACACACAATTGACTCCCTATCTAGTTAATATATGCCCGGTGACTGCAGGTGGTAATCGATCAAATTGAACACTAAGATGTTTGTATTTGTATTTCTTTAAAATTATCGAATTCAATCCCGAATTTGAATATCCATATATGGAGTTTTTCGAATTCAAACTCGAGTTCTCCTTATTTGATAAATATTCATGAGTATTTATCGGATATCAAAGTCTATGCATTCTGCTAAAGAATTTTATTTTCAAATAGTATTTGAATTTTATAAATGAAAATTACAACTTTATAACTGTGATGTATATATATTTAATTTGTATATTTCATTAGAAATCTGATTTAAGATTATTTAGGTCTCTCAAAATTAGTATATAGAACTTAAGTAGAAATAGTGCGTTGACAATATAACGCCATGTGCGTAATTATAAAACTTATGGATGATCAAATTTTAAATGAGTATTTGATAAACAAACGAATTGAATATGCATCTGATTAAATTCTTTTTGTTGATGGATTTGAATTCTAAAAATTATTTGTTTAGTGTTAAATGAACAGTGGAATCATCCGAATAATTACTAGAATAATTAACGAACAATTTGTTAATTATTTGGTTCGTTTCCACCCCTAGTCTAGATAGATTCTCATGTACTACCAAGCTTCCACAGTACCTACACGAGCATTGACTAACTTTGCAATAATCTGGTTCTGATTGAGCAGTGCAACACCAGCATCACTTGTCTTTGCACTAGAGTACCCCTTGGTGAACGTTTCTCTTGCAATTAAGAATATGTGGTTGGCTATGATTCCACTTGTTATTGTCAGAGCTCAAAATCTCTAATAAACCCACAATCAACTCTCCACTTAGTCCGTTTGGAACAAATGGATCCTAATAATTGCGCTCTGGATCATGTTATTGCGTCTGTTTGTTTACTCACGGTTTATAGATTATTGGTACTCCAACCTCATATCCTATATATTGTTTGGAATTGGAGTGTATTGAATTGGCATGCCAAAAATCTGATACAGTGACAATTGTATCAATTATGGTGATATTTCAAGTGTTTTTCTATATTACATTCCTGTTGCATTTTATCTTTTTCGGGTTTTCCCCCTTTTGAGCTTTCTTAATAGCATTGTTGATTATGTCTAAAAAGTTACCTGATGGCATATTTCACACTATCTGAAAAAACATTACTCCCTGTTTGACTGACACTTAAACATTTTGTGCAGATGGGAGTGTTTGCAAGATCTACTGTCAGGTGATTGGACTAATGATATATTATGCAGTATTGGTATGCCCATCATTCATGAAAGTGTGCGCTATAACTGCCAGGTTTTCTGTTTAAATAAAAAAATTCTAATGATCCGGCCAAAGATGTCCCTTGCAAATGATGGAAATTACAGGGAACTTCGGTGGTTTTCGGCATGGACACTTAAAGAAAAGCTTGTGGACTTCCAACTTCCTACTGATGTTTCTGAAACTGTATCCCAGATTTCAGTACCTTTTGGTTATGCATACATTCAGTTTCTAGATACGTAAGTAACATAACATTGAGTAACATTGTTATTTTGTTTTATTCTGTATGTAGTTTAGACTTCTCTTTTTTGGTTTTATATGCGTCTCCACTCTCTGCTTCTTGATCTCCTTGCTTTAGTACAGACGTCTGCTACTGATAATGAAGTGTGTGGTAATGATGTTGAATTTGTTAGATCTGTTGCCGCTGAAACGTGTGAAGAGCTCTTCACTGCTGACGCTCCTCGAATTGAACTTGCATTGAATGGCGTAGAAGTCTTTATGAATGCAAGTGGAAGTCATCACCAACTCAGAAAACTGAACTTGAGAATTGATGCTATGAAGAGTGCAACCCTTTTCTGTGGAGGTGTTTACATGTATGGTAACCATCAAGGTTGTGATGGTGGCCGCCTCTATTATGGTGAGTTACTTCTCTAATTGAGAATTAGACATATTTCTTGATGTTATTATCTTTCTTGATCTTCTGTGCCGAGGGCCATATTCTTATGAATTACAGTGACCTTGTTCTATGTCTGGGCTTAGCCTTTGCTTTCTAGAATAATCGAAATTTCATGGCCTACATTGTGCTTAATTGCAATGAAGCTACTATGTTCATGAACGAATGTTCTTGTCATTGTTTTCCTCATTATGAATTCACATAATTTGTTGTTTATATATATAGTATTCATATAAGTACTATATATACACGGATACATTATATACTATACCTCACCATATCACTATCCAGTGACGAGGTATAGACACCTATAATATAGTTCCATGACCAATTATGTCTAATAGAGCCCCACACTCTTGGTTGTGGCGATATGGTCATAGTGACATTTATGGATGATAATCAAATTGTAATTTTAACATTATCTGGGTGAACTAGGAGAATGAGTGCGCAGCTAAACGAACAGTTTGATTTTGCATTTAATGGAGATTTCCGGCATGTCATTAATCATTTCAGTGCGTAAACTTTCTTCATGGTTCTTTTTGATATTCCAATGTGTTTTGCATCTGGGATTGACTTTTTATTAAATCAAAAGGAGACTGTTGTAGTTTAGGCTCTTCATATACGGAAAATAAAACAGTTCTGATTTGGAGGGTAATATTAGGAATAGCTATGATTGGAGGGCATATATGTAAAAACATCTATAATAAAATTGAATATTTCATGCCTGACTGTTTGTGTTAAGTGCTATTCTACATAGAAAGTTATATATTTTTTGGTTTTATTAGTTTTTTTATACTTCTATTAAATGTTTATCAAGTTTCTTGATGTTGTGTAATTTCTTGAAGAAGTATTTTTCATCTGATCCTTATATCACAGATGGATGTTCCTGCATTGCTATTAATGGAGACGTGGTTGCTCAAGGATCACAGTTTTCCTTGAAGGATGTTGAGGTTTTAGTTGCACAAGTTGACCTTGATGCTGTAAGCTATTTTTTTAATCTAATTTGATGTCAAATTGGCTTCTTCTCTTCTTGTATTCTGTAGAATTGTTGTAACCATACGTAGAGGATCCCTTGTAAATCATGCAGATTTTGGTTCTTCATAAATAAACAGTGTTTTGAAACTTGTGCATTAGCGATCTTTAAAATATTGTTTGGCCGAATAGCGGGCATTAGGGCTTTCGGGTTAGTTGCGGTATGTATGATCCTAAAGAATACCTCTGTTATCAAAGTTTTCTAATGTCTTGTCAGTTGTTCTCAACGTCAGAACCAACCAGCATAAGTCAAAAATTTTATAAAAGAAAGAAGCCCTTAAAACTTTACCCAAAAGAGTACAAAATGAGAAGAGGCAGGGACTAAAGGGCGAGGCAAAGAGAAAGATCTTTGCTGATATTCTAAATAATCATATTTGACATTTGTTTGTGAATAGGAACTGATGTTCTCTGAGCTCCTGCAAAAAAAGCAATTTTAGGTTATTAAAATTCACTATTTCTTCACGATGTATTCACATGTTACTCTGATATATTATTGATCTATGATATTGTTTTCTATACCTGATATCTGTCACTATTTGCAGCTCCCATACTGTTCTTGTGTGATTACGAACTTATGGAACACTGCTCAGTTCTCTTGCAAAATTAATTTTATCCTGGCCTTATATCTGAGCCCCCAGCGTACTATATTTTCATCAACTCAAGATACAGTGTTTATTAAATTGTTGACAGTATTTGCGAACAAAATTTCTATTTATTTGGTAGATTTATAGGGGGAACATGCATATTCTCTTTTGACATCTGTAGGATCATGCATTACTGCCATGAATATGAATGGAGAAGACATCTATGCTATCATTAACATTAACATATGAATTTATCTTTCTTGTGCTGATAAGCAGGTTTCTAGCTATCGGGGATCTATTAGTAGTTTCAGAGAACAAGCAAGCCACAAATCCAAGGTTTCCTCAGTGAAAGTGTTGTATAAGCTTTGCCAATCATTTAAACTCCAACATTTTCCTACTAATCCAGTGGAGGTTAGTATTTTTGACAATTAAGCTCTTAGCTCACGACTTAATTGATCTTCTAGAAAAATTTTCCTACATCATCCGGTTATGCCTTGAGTGTAAGCTCATGCTCTTGTAGGTGAATCCATTTGACCAAAGGAGTAATAAACATGTCCCATGCCCTACTTTTTAATAAATTGATATGGTTTGTTCATATCCATGCTTCTAAAACTGTCCTGAAAATAATATTTTTTTTTTATCCCTGACCAAAAAGAAGTCCACCCTCTGCTTTCCTGCAACTGTTTTACTACATCTTTGTTATGTTTCCTTGGTACGTTTTTAACCGGAAACCATTTACTTAAAGTTTTTGTCTAAAGTGATTCTCAGAGAGTCTTTATGTTTGGGTTTGCTTGTCCTTTTAATGATTTTCACTTGCAGGTTAAGTACCACTGTCCTGAGGAAGAAATTGCTTTTGGACCTAGTTGTTGGCTATGGGATTATTTAAGAAGAAGTGGCGCCTCTGGTTTCCTGCTTCCACTTTCTGGAGGGGCTGATAGTTCAGCTGTTGCAGCCATTGTAGGCTCCATGTGCCAGCTTGTTATAAAAGGTCAGTCTATAAACTTCTTATAGTAAGTCTTTGGAGTTGTTTATTGTCATATTGCAGGATTCCGGTGGTTTAATTTTGATATTTTCTTTGAATCAACAAAGCTCAACGGTCAAGTAGCTTAGAATGTAAAAAATTCCTCACACTAAGTATAGTTATCGCGCCTTGCTTCTTCCATTTCTCTGCTTTAATTCCTTTGTTAGTTTTCCTTTTTTAAAGCATTAGCTGGCACCAGAGGGATATTTCCCCCCAAATCCTTTGTGTGATTTCTGTTTAATTTGATTGAGGCTTCTCCTTCTGTTTGTCAACACTAAAGTGAATCTCTTCATCTCACATTGAACTTTCATCTTTCCCTTTGCCTGCCTCTACTTTACCTCTTAAAGCTTGCCTTGGGTTTAATTGGTGGATACACCTACTTCTCAATCTATATCCTTCCAGGTCTTTGACATATATAATGGCCATTTCTTCTATATTCCTTTTGTTTGCATCAATCCTCCTTAAATGGAACATTTTGTGTATCATTATTGGGCTATTGTCATTTCACAGTAACTCTTTTAAGAAGCCAAGATATACATCTTTCATATATTATACGAGAAAAAAAAATATTCGCTTCATTTATCAATATCTAGTCCATTAGAGGTTTCTTCATCATACCATTTGTATAGAATACTTGTAATGAAACACTTTGCAAATTTGAATGCTCGACAATTAATTGTGGCTGCAGGTGTATGTACATCATGAAACTGCAGTTCAAATGCATTTTTTTCTTGCTACACTTTTGCATCCTTGCCTACAAGTATTATCTTCTTGGCATTTAACCTTATTTGTTAATTCTTATGTCATCATACCTCTTGAATGTCAGTCATCGGTACATCCATGGCACATCTAAACAGATATGGAGATTGAACATTGATGTAATCATGTGAAAATTTTCCTTTTACTATATTATAGCCTGTAACTGATTTTCCCCCCTCTATCTGGTAATGATTTTGTTGTTCTGCATCTCAGTCTTTTAATTATTTATATTATCTTGCTTTACAACTAACTTTTAGAATATGTAACAAATTACGCACAGATATAAAAAATGGAGATCAACAAGTCAAAGCTGATGCACTACGCATTGGCAAATACACCAACGGGGAGTTTCCTACTGATAGTAAAGAATTTGCCAAACGTATATTCTATACAGTCTATATGGGAACTGAAAACAGGTCAGTAATAAGTATATTTTGTCAATGAAGTAAATTATTGAAGAATTCGAGGGGCTATATTGGCTATGTTTATCTTATCCATACTGACTTTTTTCTGTTTCTCACAAAAATCTGCCCGTTTCTTTTCTACTTTGTTATATATGGTTTATACATAAATCAGTAGTATGTATTATTTGGTCAAATTAACGTCAAAAATTTCATCGCCAATGCAGTTCTGAAGAGACAAGATCACGAGCTAAGAAGCTATCAGATGAGATTGGTTCATGGCATCTGGATGTGAATATAGATAGTATTATTTCTGCATTGATCTCTTTGTTTCAGACACTTACAGGGAAGAGGCCACGATACAAGGTAATTAAAATTTTTTGACTTCTTTGAGATAAATTATATGTTGTTTTTATTATCTTGATGTTACAAGATAATAATCTCATATTCTCAATGCTTGATAGCAAGAAATATTTTGTGCTTCAAAGGATGAAATAAGAGAGAAAATGTGATTTAAAACAGGTCATTCTTTGCAGCAGGTAAATATTTCTTGCTATCGAACACTGAGAGCATTATTTTCCTTCTGTGGAAACATATAGACCATATTAATGATCATGATAATGACAATAAGAGAGTCAAGGAAAGGAATCAGGAAAGAGGAAGGGACACTACAAGAAATTACGCCTTTAACGAAGGGATTTCCCTTCGTTAAAGAGCTAAAAACCTTCGTTATTGTATGCTAACTACGGGAAAAAATCCCTTCGTCGCCCGTTGTTGAAGCCTTCTTCGCTAAAGGGTCACGAAGGTTATAATACCCGTCGTTATATAGTCTAAACGACGGAACATATTACCGTCGTTCAGATCTACGATGGTAATTATCACTGTCGTTACCATCAGTGACGGGGATACTTCCTGTCATTACCATCAGTGACGGGGATTTTTCCCCGTCGTTACCATCAGTGACGATGATATTTTTCCGTCGTTACCAATAGTTACGGGGATATTTCCCGTCATTATTTTAAATGACGGTTTCTCATTCCCGTTGTTATGTAATAACGGGTGACAACCTCATCGTTGAAGACAAATTAATGACGGTTAGATACCGTCGTAAAAGTCCTAATGATGGGTAATTATTAACCCATCAACGATGGTGCTTTCCCTTCGTTTATGAACAAAATACGGTTTATAAAACCGTCATTATAGACTATAAATTTTTAATATACATTAATAACAATCTTTTCATTCATAAGCAACTATCATATAATTCTCAACATGACACTAAGATTCACAACACAAATATATTAAAAATACCCAATGATAAATAAAAGGGAAAACAAAAACTCCATTCATTAATAACATCAATAAATAAAATTTCACCATCCTCAAATATTCAATACTAGTAACAAGAGTTAATATCCCAATTGTTCCAAAGAAAAATACGTGAAACTATCTAAAATAAATTAAAATAAAAGTCTAGAAAAGACACATTCTTTCATCTCTAATCATCGTTAAAAGAACACTCGAGCTACCCTCCTCTCCTAATCTTGCATGAATAGCCTAAAAATTTTAAAAATTCACATAATTAAGAAAGAAAAATAAAGCAAATATTATCTTATTAAGTAAAAACCGCATTTTCTCTATTGCAAGTAGTCAATCATAAAAGTATATAAGATATTTTATAAAAAATAATTACCTAGTCTTGTACATGTTCTCGAGTTTGAGGAGTCAATGAAGATGATTGTCTTAAAAAAAGTTCCCGCATAACTTTCACTTGTGACTTTAAGTCAGACATCCTTTGTTGTTGTTGATGTTATTGTTGCTCCTACTCATCTAAGCGTTGTTGAAGCATCTGGTTCTTTCTCTTTTCTTCTATAACTCGTGCTTCCAGATCAGATCGACTAGGGTGCGGTCCTCTCAAATCTTTTAAAGTAGTCTCACCATCAAATACAGTGATGTGCATTGTTTTAAATATCCCCGACATGGCCCGATATATTTCCCCGATATATCCTTTTACAGGGCTTGTCGCAACCGATATGGTCTTTAAATATCCTTTACCGTTTTTTGGCTATTTTGAGTGATAAATCTCCGATATAGCCGATATATTAGCCGATATGTGGACCAATATATCTTTTTATATGGCTTGTTGCAAAATAATATACCGTGTTTGGAATTTTTGGGTGAGATATCAAGATTTTCTCATTATATCAAATGACATTTTGCCCTAAAAAAAGCAGATCGAATGTTGCAACGTTATTTTGCACTTTTATTTGTTTTAGAAGGTTGATTAGTGATCCTAAATATATATTATTCATATTTTGTATGCTTAAATTTTTATTACGTATGTTGAGATTACATTTTAATGCATTATAATATATTATTCATATTTTGTATGCTTAAATTTTTATTACGTATGTTGAGATTACATTTTAATGCATTATACTATGTATGCAAACATTCATTATGGCATTCTTTTATTACGTATGTTGAGATTACATTTTAATGCATTATACTATGTATGCAAACATTCATTATGGCATTACGATATTTACCATATATCCCCGATATTTCCCCGATATCCGCAATCCGATAAATGAATTTTGGCTATCCGATATTTTCTTAATATCCGATATTTAAAACCTTGGTGATGTGAACATGAGATTGCTTCCCCCATATTTTCTCAACTATCTCAATGTCTGAAAGTGAAGGGTTTGCTTGTTTGACATGGACAATTTCATCCTACAAAAATTAAATTCATATGTTTGTTCTATATAATACAACATTATCAAACTTGAAGACATATTCTACTAACATATTTATCTTGATCCCCAGTATCTAGTGTTTCATTAGCTTTCTTTCGGGTTTCATGAAACATTTTTGCCACATCAGGTGGATTTCCCGACTTGCCACACTTATTCAAATATTAAATAAAAATGAGTATAACATCAAACTAAAAAAAAGTAGTTTTAATAAATAGAAAATTAGTTTTAAATGTATACCAAGTCCCACGCAATTTGTCTAAAGGGTTTATTGCCCGTGTGGTGGAGCATCTTTCTTTTACCTCTGTTAAGTGTATTTTGTTGGCTTGCTTTCTATACATCAAGATTAAAAGATAATTTTAATAATCCAGCAATATACATGGAACAAAATAAATAAAATTAGGAGATTAATACCTGAAATTTTGAAAAAAAATAATGTTCCTTAACTAGTCAATCCCAGTCATCAACACTCACTTCTGCAACTTTATTTCTAAATGCAACTTACAATGAATTTTCTTTCACATATTTCCTCTGCATGTCACCACGCCACTTATTCCACAAATCGCGGAAGTGTCTGAATCTATCTTTTGCTCCATGTCCTCGGCATCGAATTTATCCTACATAAAATTTGAAGCAGAATATAATTTATAAGAATTAAAGATCAATTGTAAAAAATTAATTTTTAATGTACCTTAATAGATGCCCACATGTGATCTTTATTTTGTTGTGGTTTTTTGGCCCAATTCTCAACAGCCACTAGGCAAATATTCCTATCACGAATAATAATTCCAAGATATCGTGAAAATTCTGGTTCAATAGCTCTATTCTGATAAAAAGTAATGATCCCCCCTTTGACAAATTATTCAATTTTAGACACTTATTTCTACCACGAGGTGGATTTTTCTTCTTTTGAGAATTATCAGCTGCATACATCATATAATATGTTAGAATCAAGATATTAAAAAGAAATTGATAAAAATATTTCTTCTTGTAATTAATAAAGAATATACCTTCTTGTCGAGATTCATTTAGTATTGCATCATCACTTTGCAGTAATATACCCTAGCAAAGAGACAAGTGAAAATTCTCCTCATGATGTCTTACAAGGATTTGTCAGAAAGTAATATACAAGTTACCTCAAAGGTTTTGAAACCAATGCAATATCCAAGAGAACATCAAACACCAGTAACCCATATTAAAGATTCAAATTCAAT